ATTCTATGATCTGAATTTCGAAACTTTTCTTCCTCTATTTGAGCTCTCTTCTGCTATGACATGTAATTTCTGGGAAAAATGAAGCTACAGTTAATCCTAGAAAATGATGCCGTATCAGTTGAACATTTTTGTTCCAAGAAAAGTTGGGAATTTCAAATAATCCATGGCCTCGTCCAACTACTCGTCTGCAGTTGACTAGTTTCACGCTGAATAAGTTATAATAAATTAATAATGATGATGAATGGCATTAGGAAAACCTAACCATGGAGAAACAATCTTCTCGACTTAAATATAACCCTCACCCTTAACGGATTTTGCTGGTGTTATTACTGACTGAAATTCAAAGTAACCAAAATTAAATGAAATTTGAGAAAGTGACAATCATGTTTCTAGAACTTACTTCTTTCAAAGGAAATCCTTCGATGCCAGGGTTCACTCTTTCATTTACTGCTTCAAGCTTCATGGAGAGAAACTGAGAGATAAAACATCCATAATTGTCATCTCACAAATAAATACACACACACACACACATATATATATAGAGAGAGAGAGAAACGATCTAATGAGTACCGGTGCTCATCTTATACTAAGCACCAGTACTCATTAAATCATTTCTATATGTGTGTGTGTGAGAGAGAGAGAGAGAGATACCTCAACTTGACGTTGCAAAGACTGGATATAATTAATTATTTCATCAAGGACTAGTGATTTGCCATTAACCTGGATCCAAAAAAACCCCTCTTAAGATTTTTATTTCACAAAAATTTACCAGGCACGGAAAGACTGAAAATCTTAGATGTAAAAATCAACAAAATAAATAAGCTATGTTTCTATACTGATATCTAGATCTCACCAAGTAATTAGAATGAGAAATTAACTCAAGGTGATATAATATCTTAGGATACTGTACGAGAATGTACCGAGATTTATAATGTCTATATCGGCATAAATTTCTACTGCCTAGGAGTCAGCTCCTTCATTTGAGTTGTCAGTTTCAATCTTTTTAAGCATTCTCAAAAGATATGATTGCTTGAGTTGAAGATTACTTACTTTTTATATGGCACAAAATGCAATTAGTTCTTTCAGAAGTAAGAATTAGAATTCCGATCCCACACGAACCATTTAGGTAGATTTATATGTGTCGTGTATATGTGCTATACTCTATAGTTCTATAAAGTTGGCCACTGCCAATTACGAGTTATATTAATTGGAACTACACTACCCTCTTTGTTACTACCTCGCCACACGTGAACGCCATGTGCAAATCACATTAGACTCAAAGGCCATGTGTCACAAATGCCCACATCACCATAAAAATTCCTAAAGGTTCGGCGAACCTTCACAAGGCTCGCTAGAGTTACGACAATAAAACAAGGCTCACAACCCAGCTTGCCTAATAGAGGAAAGGCTCTCTGGGAGCTATCCTTCTGTCTAAGATAAACTAGACTAGCCATACCCTTGGCTCGAAGCACAAGGCATGTGGCGAACCAATTTTCCTTTTAGAAAATTGAAAGGAAGTTATTGAAGCACAGTACACAAGACTTCATGCTAATGCCTCAAATAAAGGAATAGCAGAATATTCCGTTGCCACATGGCAAGAGGACCACTGTTGTGTAGGCTCAAACATTAAAAAGTGCAAAAACATAATCAAACAAAAATCAATTGGTTGATAACAATCTCGCCGATGAAAAGATGACACTTGGATGGAAGGTGCTAGAACCAAAATCCTCACCCAGCAGCACGCCACATGTGTACAGGGGGTCCACAGAGGTCCAATTTGCCCTTAACCTAATTTTCATATAAATAAACCTTGCAACAAGAAGAAAAAGGGTATGAAATCAAACCCCTGGATCAATCACTGTTTATTTTGTTTCTCTTGCACTTGTATTATCTTTCTATCACTAACTTGACCGTCAGAGAGCAAGTGATAGAACCACCTTCTTGGACAGCTACCTTTTCAAATCACGGTTCCTTGTTTGCAGGTCTAGGAAAAGGTGGACAAGGACATGGCTAGGATCTGTTGATACATTCATCTTACGATATTTTGAGGTAACGCTCTTCATAATGCACATAACCACCTCCTTGCTAAATTGATTTATATTTCTCCTGTCCCCAACTATTCATTCCTAAAACTAAAGGTGACGGCAAGCACAAGTCTTGGATAAATAGTTAATCTTCGAATAATCCTACTCCTGCTTTAGGTGGTGATAAGACGACTCTTGGGACAAATTGCGGGAAACTCCAAAAAATGGCAATATGGGCAAGAGCCCGTGCAAAAATAAATACATTTCATGATCCCACACTAACATTTTCCACTGTGAATAAAAAGCATAGAAGGCCCACTAAAATGGCAGGCTGTCTAAATAATTCAAAATGTCAACTGTAAACGTGTCATTATCACAAAAACTGGGGCCAGATATTCTAAGTAGATGTAGAAGATTTTTATCAAAATAAAATCAAAATGAGGCCAACCGTAGGTTTGTGTTCTCAAATAAATATATGGCACATCAAGGAATTCCACAAGGAAATCGTTGAGATTAATTATATTCCCATAACTAATAGAACAGAAAAAAACAGGGAAATAAGAACTCTGATAGCACAAGAGAAATTTTCTTTCAAACAAAATGATAAGTGTTACTTAAGGAGAATAAAGTGGGAGAAGTATTAATACTCACTTTATTACAGCCAGGGACTAGATCTTGGAGAATTTTCATCCTATCATTTATTTTTTCTCTCCTTGCCTGAACCAAGCGGAAAATAAGAAAAATCATTTGGCATAGATTTCCATGATCTACTATTTATTCATCAATCATAAATATACCATCATGATAACATAATTACTTACTTAATTGGCAATTATCTTACAGTTGAATATCAGAAAATTACAGCTTGAAAGTAAACTGTAAATAATTGGAGTAAGGAAATTACTCTTTCAGCTAAACTGTGACTATCAGTGGCTTGACCTCTTCTAGCACGAACATGGATGTAGTCTTGCTTTGGAGGTTCAGCCAGTTTTGTAGGCATCTCTCCCTCCATGCCTGAATTCCCTTCTACCTCTGCTTTATTTTCACAATTCTCATTTGATCTCACTGTCTTTAACCTTTTGTTGCCTCCTTCATTCTGCACAACACCAAAAATACATACGCCACATAAACCAATGATGAAAGAAATTACCAATAAGTAAATAAGAAGAGGTCAACTCCATCATGATAAAACATACAAAAAAAATAAAAATAAAAAAAATACCCACGCATATCCACTTCTGTGTCCCTTCCAATACATACGCCTATACGGTCATGCGCAATTAACAAGAATATGAGAATAGAGAATTCAAAAGATCAAAATTACTATAAAGTCCAAGCTCATATTGTTAACATAATTAATTATTTACATACTAAAACTACCAGCAATCCGAAAGAAGTAACTATAGAATATACCGAATCTCTCGCCTGAAGACTTCATTAGGGAATTCGTTCTTTTTAAAAAATTCCAATTTCAAATAAGTCTATTTTGGTCAGACGAATAAATATAAATAACGTCTATTGTAAAGGAACCGATGCAAGCTTGTATATCTACACAATATGCATAAGATTTGTAAATTGGAAATTGAATTTTTTCAGTCATAAAAATACCAAGGCATTATTGCTAGTATTTCCATCGCTGTTGCTACTTGAAGCTCCTTTAACACACTCTTCCTCGTCGCGCCGCTTTCTCGAATTATGATTCGATCTCTGGTCCGTCACCATTAGATCCATACCCACATTTCCATACGACATCGCATCAACAAACGCCGGCCACGTCTCCGCATAGCCGTACATTCCTCTTCCGCCATCATTTATCGTCGGATCCATCCGAAACCCGGCCCCAATTATAGTAATGAAGTGATCATGTAATTACAGAAATGTGTGTATTGATCGATAAATATGAAAGTGTATGTATAGGTGGATGGGGGACAGGGGAGTATAGATCTCCTTCCAAACAGTGGAGGATGTTGGGTGGTGCGTACTATACCAACTGGAGTACACTAGCCACCAACACCATTCTATCACTACTGGTTCATTCTAGAGAGAGGAAGAGAGACTCATTATTGGGAGTTGAAAAGAAGTGACTTAGTGAGCTTTTCTCGGAGCATCCAACGATCAGTGTCCTAAGAGACGAATAATTAACCCTATTGCTGGTTTACGTAGACCAGGTCACGTTAGATTAACACCTTTGGTTTAACTAAAATAAAAATGTAAGTTAAAGTTATCAATTAATTTTAAGTACATATTTTGATAGATTCAAGATTTTTATCAACTTATAATCATATATTTCATTATTTTTCTCAACATATACTAGAAATTTACTTTTCAAAAGAACCAAACAATGGTTAATAAAACTCGAGGATGTGTGAAATTCGTCCTAGGTTATAGTTTCTTGTGCAACTGGACATTTTGTTCATAGTACGCATTTTCATGATACTCGATTTTTCTTTAATGCTTGACACTAATGTGTTAGCTAGGCTAGCTCAAACTCAAAAGTCTAACATTTAGTGTATTGCTATAGGAATAAGTACGAGAAAGATTCTTTGTCATGATTACGAAGTCTGAGATTTATAACCTGAAATAATCCATCTCTAAAAAATTACACTTCGACGTTTAAAACTTCTCATGAATTTATGGAATCAAACTAATACTTCTCTACTCAAATCTCAAACTTCATTTATTGTGTCAATGCGTTAAACATAACGTTATCATATTTGAATATGATTACATATAGTTTCAAGTTTTTGTCATTTGTGTCCTCAAATTATTTGGTATTTTAACTCGAGCTAAGTCAAAAGTCAACTCAAATGATAACAATAAAATGAAAAAGAGAAAAAAGTGTTCGTTCTTTTACAAAGTGTTTTTTAATAATAGGTTCCAAATGTAACTCAAATTGATTGTCGACTTCGACACAATTAGATAATATAATAGAAACGAACCGGACAAAGGAGTAAAGTCAACTTCAACACTGTTAGATAATAATATAGCCCTCATTTTGCCCTCATTCTCTTTTTCTTTTTCTTATTTTCAACAACACAATTTTTCATAAAATAATATTACACGCAAACGAAAAAATTTCATTATTTTTCAACCACATGTTTTTCATAAAAATACTATTTCAATCATTAAAATTTGAAAAGAACGGAACCAAACTAGGCATAATAAAAACGAGATTTTCGGGAAAAGGAGTAAAGTTGACTTGGACGCACTTAGAATATGTGAAAGGAGTATAGTCTTTGATTAATGATTGTTGAAATTATGAGTATTGGTGTCCATCTGCGGAGAGATTAGTGATGAATGATAATGATAGTTTTGGGCATAGGAAATTAGCTTTTAGGGTAATCTAAACTCTTGATTGATAATGAATCTGCCATCATTTATTAGCCCACATTTTTAGATTGATGGTTTTAACATATACCTAACAAACCGATTTTATTTATTTGCTTGCCTACCAAAATGATGTTAATTTATTTACTAATGTCTCCTCTTCTTCTTTTGGGAACACTACATAACTCCATTTAAAAATCACAATTCAAGACTAACAAATTCTAAAAATATTTTCAAAAATCAGATGATAATTAAATTTATTAAATATTTAATTATAATACAGTATAATTAATCAACTTATCCCCGCCCCATCCACCTTCACATCAAACACTTCTCTTTCTCCATCGACCCTACCCCACCTCCCGCGACTTCTCCGATGACCGCTCCGATGACAATTCCGGCGAACTCTCCAACAAATATTTTGGCAACCTCTCGACGACTATTCCGATAATTGCTCACGTTTCCAACAACTTCTCCGGCGTTGGCTCTGACAATAATTTCGACGATCGCTCTAGCGACAATTCCGTCGATCTCCTAACGATGGCTCAAACGATCGTTTCGATAACTACTCACCTTTCTGACGACTACCTACCTGTGACCAGTTCCATTAGATTTGTGACATTTGCACATTGTGATCTGTGATCAATTCTATTGAATTTGTGACCTAATCAAGTGGTATGAATATGCATATGATAAATTCCAAAATTAAGAAATAAAATTTGAAATTTCAAACATCAAATACTATTAAAATTTTAGTTATGAAATAATTAATCAAAAAATTATTTTTATAATTAAATATATTAAATTCATATATCTTTTTTTCTTTTTCAGGGCAATAACGTTTGACCTCACATTGTGACATA